GGCTCCTGCCGTCGGCGGGGCTCCGAGGAGCCCCTCGCGTGTGTGAAGCGCCCGAGTCCCGGGGAATTGTGAAACTTCGGGGTTGGGTTGCAAGCCATCCCGGCCTCCCCTCCTTCCCCCCCCCAAAACGGCCAGCCCCCACGTCGCGTCACGGCTTTCCTCCTTTGGGGCGGTGGTGGAGAGGTCCCTGGGCTCGTCCCAACCCTTAAAAATCTGCTGGGACTGACGGCCTCCGAGGAAGCAGGATCTTTACCCAAAATAGTCTTGGGCCTCGTTCTGCTGGGAATAACTTGATTTGAGGCAGACTTAGTTTTTGCAGGCCGGGGTTATGGCAGCATCAGAAAGGAATGGAAAGGATAAATATGGATTATTTGTCTTCCCTGAGACGTTCATTTCCTTAGTTGTTTTATTTAAGGCGGTTTATAATAAATCTATGCTGACTTTTTCTCCTACACTGGCAACAGACTTCCCCTTGACTGCTTCAGTCACATCAATAATAAAACGGGGCTTTCACGAAGAAAACATTTGAGTTGCCAATGCTTATAGTTCAGAAAAAATAAAGATGGAAGCATGCGAGTTTTGCTGTTTTTTTTCCTAACCTTTTAAGATTTTTTAACTTAAAAACTTGTTTTTCTCTTTTTCAGGGCCGACTACTGGAAGTCTCAACCAAAGAAATTCTGTGATTACTGCAAGTGCTGGATAGCAGACAATAGGCCTGTATGATCATCCCCACTCTTAATAATAATGTGCTTGTGTGAAGTGGTCGCTTTTTTAAAATCTTAGTTCAGAGTTTACAAAGCATTTTCATATGCATTGCTTTTGATTCGTCACAACATTGAAATGTTTCTGTTATTTCCTTTATGAAAGCTCTGTGAATTTTTTATGGATCTAAATTTGACTTTAAAGCCAAATTATTTCTGTGACCTTTGAGGAAATGGACAATGAGTGGGTAATCTTGTCCATGTTTGTGAAACATCTACATTAAAATGGTACTGTTTGTAATACTGTTCCTACAGAGACAAACAATTCCTCTATAAATAATTAAAATGTTTGATGCTGACTTTTAAAGAACATTATTCCCACTCATGATATATAAAAAATAGCAACTCAGTTAAATACATTATTATTGTTATAGCAACTCTGTGAAGCACTTTTATCACTTATAGTCTAGATTCAAGACATAAGGCAAAAAAGCACATGCATATCAATAGTACTGCCACATACTACATCAAAACTAGATTATCTCTGTGTATTCATAACCTTCCTTGGTAAAGTTAGATACACAAAAGAATCCTAGTCCTAGCCAGGCTCTGGTGGCTCATTCCTGTAATCCTAGCTACTCAGGAGGCTGAGATCTGAGGATCTAGGTTCAAAGCCAGCCTGGGCAGGAAAGTCCATGAGATTCCTATCTCCAATTAACCACTATAAAAAAAAAAAACAAACGGAAGTGGCACTGTAGCGCAAGTGATAGAGCACTAGCCTTGAGCCTAGGGACAGAGCTCAGGCCCAGAAGTTCAAATCCCACAACCAACAAAAAAAAAAATCTTCGGTACTATCTTTGTGCTGTATTTCCCTAGTAGACAATTTATTTTAGATTGCAAGGACCTGAATTCACAAAAAAAGTAAAAAGCAAATGATTTTTAGGGTTTAGGGGAGGAGGAGGTTCTGTTTTGTTTTGGTCTTTTTGAATAGTTGCTGAAGTTCTTGACTATTTTAGTTGGGATATCCTCACCAATAAATGATAAGAGTTTCTTAAAACTATACAAATCACTAATAAAAGTCCTCCTTCCTTCAAGGTATATAGACATTAAATGAATATGAGTTAACAATGGCAAATAATCCTGTCCAGTGAAGACTTTCTTCATCTTCCTTGAATTGCTAAAACACTGCTTTAACCTTTAATTAGAAACAAAATTTAATTTTGCTGGTCCTTTAATATTGTATTCTTTGTTCGATTGTAATTAACTTTAGGAAACAACATATGAGAAATAGAGATGATTGTCCCTTTTAAAAAGCAATAAAGTGGAATTCACAGTATTTTTAGAATAGCTCAGTTAATGCATCATATAATATTTGATTGACAGAACTTATTTTTCAGAGCTTGTCAGGAATTTCTAATTGCATTACCCAGGTACTTGTAATTTAGAGAGAATTTCTGGTTGCTTAAATAGGTAATAATACTCACCCATCCCTGACCCATCTACTATGTAACCATTATTCTAAATATTTTCGCTTTTCTTTTTTTTTTTCTTTTTGTGGTCTTGGACCTGAACTCTGGGCCTGGGCACTGTCCCTCAGCTCTACCACTAGAGCCACAGCACCACTTCTGGCTTTTTCTGTTTATATGGTGCTGAGGAATCAAACCCAGAGCCTCATGCATGCAAGGCAAGCACTCCACCACTGAGCTACCTTCTCAGCCCCTCGCTTTTCTTTTTATTGTATACCCTCCCATTATTTTTGATACCCTCTTTTGCACCAGTTTTGGGGATTTTTGGTAATATCAGGAATTCAACTTATAACCTCATGCTATTTGTTCTATACTACTAAAACTTACGCCATATCTTCGGCCTTTTTTTTTTTAGTTATTTTTTAGAAAAAGTTTCTTCACTTTTTTCCCCATGCTAACCTTAAGCAGGATTCTCCCAATCACTGTAGAGTAGCTAGAAATGGTTTTATTTTATCTTCACAATTGTTTCTTCCTTTTTTTTTTTTTTTTTTACAGTGAAAGCAGGGATTATACTGTGGGGAATTTTTTTTTTTTTTTTTTGCTGGTCG